GACTTTTCCTGTTAATGATTCGTTGCTTTGTCGTAAAATTTTCCTTTTCTAACTTATGCCTGCAACCTGTTTGCGTATATTCCACAGAGAACCTGAAGTTTTCTGAAATAGAGAATAGAAGAGTTTTGTCTGGTAAGCTTGTCTTTTTGATTCGGTTCTTGTCTTACTCTAACAAGGCTCTGTTTCGCTTGCTTATTATATTCGATGAATTGGTTAAAAAAAAAGTCTCCTTTCGGGTTTTTTCCATGTCTGAATGAGTTTGTGTATATATAAATCAGTCTTCATATCCACATTGTTGCCATTTTATATTAGTTGATTTCTCGATTTGATTCGAACTTTTGATTGCTCTTCGTTTAGATCTTGATTCGCTTAAAAACCTTCTTTTTTTGTTTGGTCAAAATTAACAACCTTACTTTGATTTGTTCTCTCTGGTTATTGTCTAGAAAGGTGGATTGCTCTCTGTTCTTATCAATTATCATCCTCGATGCCGGAGAGCCACTTGATCAGAAGAGATGGTTCTTGTTCCAACACAAACTATCTAAACTGTTCCTTGGTTTGATTGCATTGTATCCATGGGACTGGGAAGTGACCCATGTGTGGTTGTAGTGGCATTGATTGTGGCCGTTCTGGTGGTTCCACTGAGTTGCCAAAGGCCTCAAGTGGTGAACATTGGTGCTGTTTTCACTTTTGATTCAGTTATTGGAAGAGCAGCAAAAGTAGCTCTCGATGCAGCTGTCTCCGATGTGAATGCTGACACAAGGGTTCTCAAAGAAACGAAGCTACGGCTGTTCATGGAGGACTCTGCCTGCAATGTCTTTCATGGGTCCTTTGGAGGTACCGTGACTGTTCTAGTAGTTCTTTTACATTTAAACACTTTTGACCTTCATCCATGGTGGTCCCATTTGAAACTTTTTATTTTTGGGATCGACGGTCTTATTGGTAGGTTTCGGCACAATGTGGATTATTCCACATTATATGGTATCAAAGGTGAATTGCACAAGTTTCTACTTAGACAGTAGGAGCTACCATATGGACCTTTGGTTATGTCCTTGGATACCGTTAAAGTGACGTTTGAAAAGCTCACAAAATAATTACTGGAAGTGATTGGCAAGTCAATTATGTTTTGAATCAGTTTTATCTGTACATAATTTGGGCTCCAAATGCGAATAATGCATAGAACTATATAGAGCTATGGCTATTCTGTACTATAACATGTGTTTTCTGTTGGAAACATAATTTTGGTTTTACCACTAATGGCCTGGTTTAAATTCCAATGATTCTTGTTTTGCAGCTTTTGAAGTGCTTGAGAAAGAAGTGGTGGCTATGATTGGTCCAATTTCATCCTCCATCGCCCATACCTTGTCTGATATCGCCAAAGGGATCCAGTTTCCTCTTGTCTCATTTGCAGCAACTGATCCAACTCTCTCTGCCCTTCAATATCCCTTTTTTCTTCGGACTACACCTGATGATGCCCACCAAATGTCTGCCCTTGTGGATCTGATCAATTTTCATGGATGGAAAGAGGTGATATCAGTGTACTCTGATGATGAGCTCGGACGAAATGGAGTTTCTGCTCTAGATGATGAACTGTACAAGAAAAGATCCAGAATTTCCTATAAAGTGCCGCTCTCAGTGCACTCTGATGAAAAATCCATTATTGATGCTTTGGAAAAGTCCAAGTCCCATGGTCCTCGAGTCTATATTCTTCATTTTGGTCCTGACCCATTGCTCAGAATTTTTAGTATAGCACAAAAGTTGCAGATGATGACCCATGAATACGTGTGGCTCGCCACAGATTGGCTCTCAGTTACCTTAGATTCTTCTTTGAGTGACAAAAGTACTTTAAAACGTCTTGAAGGAGTGGTGGGGCTTCGTCAACACCTCCCAGAATCCTTAAAGATGCAACAGTTCAGACATAAACTGCTGAGCAACAGATCAATGAATGCCTACGCATTACATGCCTATGATACTGTGTGGATGATTGCATACGGCATTGAGAAGTTGCTGAATGAAGGAATCAACATAACGTTTTCTTACTCCGAGAAATTACTTCATGCACAAGGAACTAAACTGCACCTGGAGAGAATCAAATTTTTCAACAGCGGGGAGCTACTACTTGAGAAACTTCTGCAGGTGAACTTCACTGGTATAGCCGGTCAAGTGCAGTTTGGTTCTGGTAGAAATGCCATCGGTTGTGACTACGAAATCATCAATGTAGACAAAACCGGTGTACATACTGTGGGTTTCTGGTCGAAAAATGGAGGCTTTTCGATTGTAGCCCCAGAAACCCGACACACACAGAAGAAGACTGGTTTTGTCACTGATGAAAAACTTGGAAACATTACCTGGCCTGGTGGTGGCCATGAAAAGCCGCGTGGTTGGGTCATTGCAGATTCCGGAAATCCATTGAAGATTGTTATCCCGAAAAGAGTGAGTTTTGTCGAGTTTGTGACTGAAGAAAAGAACAGTAGCCATCATATCCAAGGATTTTGCATCGACGTCTTCATTGAAGCATTAAAACTTGTTCCTTACAATGTTCCTTACATCTTTGAGCCATTCGGGAATGGCCTTTCAAGTCCTAATTACAACCAGCTTATTCAAATGGTGGCGGATGGCGTAAGTATCCACTTCAAAGACAAAACTGATTGGGAAAGCCTCAGAGATCACTGAACATTCTCAGAGTAACTTTTACTGAGAATGGTTGGGCATTTCCCTGTTTTTCTTTTTTTTCTCTGTTTACAGGTATATGATGCAGCTGTTGGGGATATTGCAATAGTTCCAAGCCGGTCCAAATTAGTGGATTTCTCGCAGCCATATGCTTCCACAGGCCTTGTGGTGGTGATTCCGAGTAACGATGATAATGCGACTTGGATCTTTGTGAGACCCTTCACCATCCGGTTATGGTCCGTTGTTCTAGCTTCATTCCTGGTTATTGCTGTAGTCATCTGGATCCTCGAACATCGGATCAATGAGGATTTTAGAGGGCCTCCGCGAAGACAACTCACCACAATGATCTTGTAAGCCCAGCTCATAATACTCACTGAACTTGATAGTTCACTCTTGTAGTCTTATCTGACATGTTAAGTTTGTCTTTGCAGGTTCAGCTTCTCAACTCTTTTCAAGAGAAACCGTGAGTAGCCCCAATCTCATCCATCTTTCTTTATCACTACCAAGCAATAGAAAAACACTAGTTGATCGAGTTACATTTCCGAATCTGTTTGATACATATTCAATTCTAGATTGACTGTTTCTATCAACTCATATCTGCGATCTTGCTGTTTTATCCTGTTCTGTCAACAGAGGAAGATACGATAAGCAATCTAGCAAGACTATTGATGATTGTATGGCTCTTCTTATTGATGGTCCTAACCGCGAGCTACACAGCGAACCTCACCTCAATCCTCACAGTACAACAGCTTCCCTCTGCCATTACCGGTATTGACAGCTTGCGGGCAAGCGAGGTGCCTATCGGTTACCAGTCTGGGACGGTCACTCTAGAGTACTTAACCTACAGTCTTGGCATGGCTCGGTCTAGGCTGGTCCCACTTGATTCAACCGAGGAGTATGAAAGGGCTCTAAAGCTGGGACCAATCAATTGGGGAGGCGTGGCTGCCATTGTCGACGAGCTCCCTTACATCGAACTGTTTCTTGCAGAACGGACGGGTTTCAAGATTGTTGGAGAGCCCTTTATGCACCGCGGCTGGGGATTTGTAAGTACATTTTCCACGTTTGTCTTTGCTCAGAATACCGAATTCAATCGCAAAAAGATTTGA